TTGCTGCCTTTTCATGGTCATTACTCTCTCTCTCTCTCTCTCTCTTTCTTCTTTCTTCTTTCTTCTTTCTTCTTTCTTCTTTTTTTTTTTTGCTGTTCTTTTAGCAGAAATGTTACTGTCCTTGAACTTGTAACTCTCCTCCTTTCTCACTTTTCAGCATATTGTAATCTTGATGGAAGAGGGGATATTTTTGGTATCATTTTGCAAATTTAGCAAGTGAAGTAGTTGCAGAGTGCAATTTGCAGGAGAAAATATGAATGTTTACTTTGTTCTGTGGGTTTGGATTAGGGGATGTTAACAATATATAGCAATGTAAATATTTGGTATACAACATAAATATTTGGTATACAACATATTTATGTTTGTTTGACTCCAAGAATGCTATTCTGGTGCATTTTTTTTTAATTCTCAAATATCACAAAATGTTTGTTCACCAGAGAATGAAACATATGCAAATATACATTGGGTATTGATTAGATCCTATTAGAATTTTTTGTTAATGTTCAGGTAGCCCTCATTTAGTGACTGCCTCGTACAGTGACCATTTGCAGTTACAATGGTAATAAAAAAAAGTAACTTTGTGACCAGTCCTTGCATTTATGACCTTCACAGGTCTGTAAAGCAAAGGAAACTGAAGTAAAATCATAAGCACAGTTGTGATTTCACTTAGCAACTGCTTTGCTTAATGATCGAGTTGCCGGTCCCAATTGTGGTAGCTAAATAAGGACTACCTGTATACCTGATTTAGATTAAGCACACTTCCTTATGAGATGGGAGGTGTCTAAATTTGAAATATAAATAAATAAATATTTCCCAGGTGGTAGAATCCATGCTTTTTATTTAGACGGGTGTATTTTTAGATATTTGTTAAAATGAAAGTATTTGCTAATTAACCACATTCCATCAAGTACATCACAAGTGTTGGGTGCTCCTGGGCCCTGCGCTTAAGTAACTCATAACCATTTATCTGAAAATTCAATGCAGGCAAGTTTAAACTAGTAACATTTCGATTAAGCTACATAGAGGTGCCTAAAGTTATATGTGCAATGCACAGAGTTTTAATCAATGTACAGATGAAGCAAGATTCCTTTGTTGTATGTTTATTTTGATGAAAGATTGGACTATAGAAAGAAGTCAAAAAGAAAAGATTAAAAAGCAAGGGAAGAAAATGTCATACATCAATAAGCCATAATATAGGCTGGCTTATGCAGTGCAATAGCAATTGTGATAGATGGAAATTATGCAACTCTCCTAGTGATCTTTGGGCAGTATACAATAAAAAAAGGTGGATATAGTCCATCTCTGTTCTACCAGATCTCTTAAATACAAAGGGAGTTTGAAGTTCAGAGTGTAGACTCTTATAGAGGAATGCATGAGTAAGGACTTCAATGTCTCATAAGCACATTTGCTCCAAAATGGAGATATTATACTTCCTAGAACTGCTATCATATATATACATATACATTATATATTATGTATTATAATTTTATTAACAATTTTTAAAAAGACTTCAATGTCTCATAAGCACATTTGCTCCAAAATGGAGATATACTTCCTAGAACTGCTATCATATATATACATATACATTATATATTATGTATTATGTATTATAATTTTATTAACAATTTTTAAAAAGGAAGATAAAAACTAATACTAACATAAAGTAAGGAAAAGAAAAGAAAAAGAAATCAAAGAGAAAGCTAAAAGTGCAAGAAAG